TCCAGGCCAGCTCTGCACAGAGAAAATATGTCCCAGTCATGCCCACCCCATGCAGATGGATTGGGCCATGCCTGAGTCAGCACTACACTCTGATCCAGACTGGATCCAGCCCATGGACTGACCTGGTACTAGTTACCTGGTCCACAGGGCAGAAAGGCTGAGTACCAATGATTTAGAACTTTTAGGAGCTTTAGAAAGAGCCAGACCTGAAAGTAGGCTGCCACAGCTTGCCTGCCCTTTACCCCCACCAGCCCTGGCCTGCAGTGCCACCAGTCTCCTGCTGGCAAATTCCTGCCAATGCCTAGCTCCATTGGCTGGATGCAACTGTTTGGCTGATCTGATCTGGCCTACAGTCTGTAGGCCACCAACCTGATTTAGACCAGTGGCACTGGCCAGGTAAACTTTTGGTTACATAACCTTTTTTTTACCTTTTCAGCCAAAAAATAAAATTACACTTTCCAATCTGTGCTAAGACATCTCTTGTTCATTTGGGCCCAAAATTAGGGTATTTGTTACCCAATGATGCTTCAGTTATTTGGACAATTTTTGCATTTGCAAAGTTCGCAAGAAAAGAATTGCATATTCTTTTCCTACAGCTTATGTGAATCAATTTATTTTATTTTTGTAGAATGTTATCCTTGCACTATACAAGGATAAAGTGTGTTCTAAGGATGCAAAATAAAGGAAGAGACAAAATCTACTTTTTGTATTATGATGGTTTTTAAAACTTTTAGCTGTTTGGTCGTGTTACGGCTAACTGCTTAATAAAATCTGAATTTACTTTGGTAAGTCATGTTCCCAACATCAGAACGAACCAAAACGGAGGCTTTTCACTTTTTCTTAGAGTTTATGAGTCTTATTATTAACATTAAGGCCTCAAGTTAATTTCAAACACTGACAGTAGTTTCCTCCGATGATGTCTCAGTAGTTTAATATTCTTACAAGTGTAGCAAATGAATAAATATAAGCTGGAAAAGTATTCTACAATTTTCATAGAGAACTTTGTTTTTTAGTTTTTCTAAAGAAAAATTATTATAGAATTTGACTTCATAAAATCTGGGGAAATCAACATTCCTAATTGTCATGGATGCAATAGAGAAGACAGCACAGCACTGGAAGGTAAGCATGCACTGAAATGTGACCAAAGAAGCTTTACTATTTTAGTTGCCTTACTGGGGTGCTGGGGTCCAGGTGCACACAAGTACTTAGGCATCTTAAGTAGGATGCAGGTGGAATTCAAGCACCAAATTCCAAGTTTGATCCATAAAGCTCCCACATAACCTCTTAGGTGGTAAAAAGACCAAAGGCACCCAAGTTTTTACCATTAAAGCTCTGTAGGCACCAAGAGTTCTGCTAAATTGGCCTTGTGCCGCATTGCTGCTCAACAGCTCAGTATTTATCTCACTCTTTAAGTTCATTTAAGACAGTGATTCTCAACAAGGGACCATGGCAGCACCTTTTGAAGGATGCCTAAGGTGTGAGGAGGAAAGCAGATAAGCGCACACTCAGGTGTTTCCTTGCCTAGCTGACCCCCCACCCCAATTGCCTACCTCCTCTGCAAAGTAGTAAGCACTGTAATATATATGTTTTGAAACGGAGTTATGGAGGGGTGCCGAGTCCAAAAAGATTGAGAACCAATGATTTAGGATCTACAAATGAGGTGTTCATTTGCATAAATCCTCCAGCAGGCCCAATCTGGTAAACCTCTTTAGCTAACACATAGAGACACCACAAAACACAGCAGCCACTGCCACTTGAATTTAAAAACATGGCAATAAAAAGAGATGGCCGCCTTTTATGTAACAGCCCAGCAGTATGAATACTTACGCAGAAAGTAAGAAATCCAGGTTCAACACAGATTTTTTGAATTCCATTGCCAGACTTCAAACCCTCCTAAATCATTGTATAGAATGGTGGTGCTCAATCTCTCTAGCCCTGCAGACTGGATCCTGCTCATGGGCCCAGTTTATGACTCGAATCCAGTGTGAGGATGGAATGTGAGGTCAGTGTGCCGGCTACATCTGCAGGGATGATTTGGCTGTGGAGTGACCCTGCACGCCAGTCTGAATCCATGTGTTGGATCCAGCTGCAGAGCAACCATCCACTGGTGCAACCTGGGATATGAGGCCATGTCATGTGGGCTGCAGGGCTCCTCATGGGTCTGGAAGCATGGTGGTAGGGGAGCGGTGGCAGCGTTAATTACGGTGGCTCTGGAAGCAATTAACATTGCTCCCCTACCACCAAATTTCCAGAACCCACGGAAGACCGACAGGCCAGATGGCATGGCTTTGAGAGCTGGAGGTTGAGCACTACTAGCGTGGTTCACAATTCATAGAGAACTTAGTTACCCAATGCAGGCCACGGAGTTTCATTTGGAATCCAGGTGCCTGAAAGAAAGGCAATTAGTCCCTGTGGGTTCTGGCACCCAGTGACACATGTATTTGCTCAGCAAAGTCTTACATTGTTGTTTGGGGAGAGGTTGAAAATAATTTCTGCATAAAGACTTCTGGTCTTCATTTTACCAATCCTGTGGAGGTGAACTGCTTTGTTTGCTGCTACAAGTACCTGAAATGGATCAACAATCTGTAGAACAGAACAGCAGAAAAAGATTATTAAAATAATACAATTCTGAATTGGGTAGAAACACTTTTTTTTCTTCATTACTTCTTGATCTCCGACCTCTGCTAAATTCTGAAAGCCTTATTCTGAATGGACAACACATTGTCCCACTTAAGTCAATGGTATGACTCAGTAAGCATGTCTACAAGAGACGCTTTATTGTGCAGCAGACTAATATGTTGCGCAGCAAAGCATCACCAGCTACATAGGCGTGGCAATTAGGGTGCAGTAGACTGATTGTGCTGCTGGAAAGTCCCACCAGCACCAGCAGAAATTACTGCACTTAAACACATGTCTAGACTGCGATGTCAGGATTAGTTTATTCCAGCTCAGATTAAGCTAGAGCAGGGATGGGCAATTATTTCAGGCGGAGGCCCGCTTACTGAGTTTTGGCAAGCCATCAGAGGCCACATGACAGGCAGATGGGACAGATAAATATTAATTTTCTAAATTTGTTAAGGGTTCCCGCAGGCCAGATAGAATGGCCCTGGCAGGCCGCATCCAGCTCAGGAGCCGCATTTTGCCCAAGCTAGAGTATATTCAGTTGCATTAACTGAATGTGTAGATGCACCCCCCAGTGAGAAAATAGCTGAAATAAGGATGCAGTACATGCTTCCATAGCAAACAATGTAAAAGAAGTTAATCCAGCAGCAGAGCCCCATGGTTGTTTCATGAACTCGTATCTCCCTCCCATAAAATGAGCCAAAAGGTCAGGTCAGATGTTGAAAATATTTACGGACTGAAATAAGAGCAAAGGGCCCAGATATGAGATGGACATGAAAACCGTTGAAAATGACCGCTTTTAAAAACGCGACTCATTCAAGATGCTGCTGGCCACAGCATGGATCAACGTCAAAAGGTTTACGGCCTACTCCGGCCAGGCGGACTGCTGTGCTGGCACAAAGCCCTGACGAAGGAAGGCCGGGGGGCTGCGCCTGTGGGACCAGGCCGGCCGACACAGCCAGCCCGAGCTGACAGCCGCACCCCGCATCAGCGCCAGGCAGCGCTGCTCCATCCTGTTGCCCAGGGTGGATGGTCCCTCCTGGGCCGGACCCGGCTGTGCGCAGGGGGGAGGGAGGCCGCCCGGCCCGGCCCGGCGGCGGGAAAGGGGCAGGGCCTGGTCCCGGCAGTTCAGCAGTGCGGCCGAGCGGGGGGTGCGGGCGCTCACCAGGGCCGGGCTGAGCAGCGCGGCCGCCACCGAGCCCTGCAGGGCAGC